GCTAATTCCCCTCCACCCGTCCCTCCAAGCTCAGTAGCTCTCGACCATTCTTGGCTTGTGCTTGTCTCAAAAAACCCCGAACAATTCGTTAGGATAAGTCGGTGTAATAAGTATCGATTCGTTTTCGCGCCAGCTTTTATAACAATTTCCGCATCCCCGGTATGCGTGAAGATTGGAAAATCATTCTGCGGTATGTATGAAGAACTTCCCGTATGACTTCGACCGTGACGTCGATGGTGTCTCGAAGTACTTGCTCTTGAAACGACCGACGAAGGACCTCGAACAGTCAGCGAATTGGTCGGCTCTGCCTGCGAAACCATTGCTTGTTTCCTACGCATCCCCCAAAAAAGCAATCAGTATTTGTGAATTGGTTCGATAAATTCCTTCCAATGACTCCAGGTTATGATTTTCGCATCGCATACCTGAACAAAAACATGGAAATTCTGGACCAAACAAACAAACGTACCAAAATATCCAGCCTTCACCTCATTCACCTTACACCAAGTCGACACAAGGCTGATGAAGTGATGCGATGAGAAAGGTCATAAACTCATCCAAAATCTGCTACGCACAGCGCGCAATCCCTTCGGTCTTTCAAATATAAATAAAATATACCTCGTTTCTTCTCCCGACCCGAAAATCCCCTCACAAAACGATTCTCGATTCGTTCGTCCCAAGCTTCTACCAAAATGTCCAAATGTCTCAAAACCCACCTCGAACGAACCTCACAAAGTCGTTTTTTTCCTCCTCTTTCTATCTTCACCATTCACGAAAAACGCGTTGCAAGATATCTTCAGCTGCTATACTGTTTTGCGTGTACGTATAATAGATATAATATATATCCCAAGCAAATCAATAACATGAAGAATCACGAACGCGAAAAGAAAAATATCAATTCCATTCCAATATCAAATGCATCTTATTATCTAGGTACTAATCAATCTATTATCTATCCAATTTTTATCTATCAACCATCAATCAACCCGTTCTCTCCCAGGACCATCCAAGTTTCCCAGCTTCAGGAACACATATTACCATCCAATCAATCTCATCCGTTTCTACCCACCTCCATTCCATTCCTATGTACCTACGATAGGTACGAAGAGAAGAGAAGAGAAGAAAGAAAAAACCTTGAACTATGCTTGTTCAATCACTCACTCACGCATTCAATCAATCACTCATCTTGCGTGCACGCCTTGCCTTGTCCATCTTACCCATCCATCTACTGCAAGTTACACCTTCAAGTTCGAGAGTCCACTCCACTCTGCGCGCCCCAGCCCAGCCCAGCCAACTCGCGAAACGGAGGGAAAACGAAAGGATGCTCTCGCCCAGCCCCTTCAAATGAACATCCCAAGAAAATGCACACGAAAATTCCCGAAAGCCATTCGTTTTCAACGCGCTGCTGCTCGCTCGCTCTCCTTGCATTACTCCTCCTCTGTCCCTCTGTCCCTCTTCACAAATTATGTCCACCTACATCGTACATATACCCAGGTATGCCTATCACTTGTGCATCTCGGTTCTCCCATGCGCGGTAGCCATCGTGTGCAATCCATCCATTTATCTTCTCTCACATGCATACATACGTGCGTTGGTGTATCCATGGCCCCATCTCCCAATCCCTATATCCGTATCCAAGTTCAACTCCATTACCATCCATCAATCCAAAGAAACCCCAACTGCTTGATGATCCTCCCCCATCCCATCCAATCACCTCTCTCCATTCCCACCTCGCCCATGTCATCCCAGAATAGCAAACCAGGATCACACATCCAAGAACTGGTCAACAGATGGGCCGTCACTCAGCCGGCTTTCTAGACTTTTGGCCGGATGTATCACGTAATACATTCTGGGGAAGACGTTTGAAAAGATTGAGATATCTCACATTTCATTGGGAAGGGGAAATCATCGGGAGAATGGTAAAATGTATACCTATGTATGTAGGTAGGTATGTATGTAGGTAGGTATGTATGTAGGTAGGTATGTATGTAGGTAGGTATGTATGTAGGTATGTATGTATGTGTGAATGAATGAACGAACCCACGATTACGAATGAACTACTGTATTGTGAAATACCTACCTAGGTACCTATCGATCGATGATGTATACATACATTGAACAAGTCACTTATACATGAACATGAACCATATTATATTGTCAAAATACATACATACAGAGTAACCAAAACATACATACATACATCATCCATTAAATCAAATTGCCCATCTACCTACTAGGTACCCACCCTTATTAGTATTAAATTACTATCACCAATATCCATAGTCCCCATCTCATCAACATTTCTCCCGTCTACATACGAGTAATCAAGACCGTAGACTTTCACAATGCATCATACCTAGTAGTCCTTCCCAAGTTCCCATTCTTACATTCTTCCATTCTTCCATCTATCCTGTATTTCCCTCTCAATGCTCACCGCTCTCTTTCTTCGAATCTAGAAATCTTTAACAGGCTATTGCAATCCCAAGTGGTCTTGCAGCAGATGCCTTGTTTACCTTCATTCCATCATCTGGCTCCATTTAGGAATTCGCTTCTCGACTCGAAGCTTTGAATTAAAGTTGGTGTCTGAGCGATATTCCGTCACACCATCTCGTTGAACAGGTAACCTGAACCAGTAACCTTGGGCACCAAATCTCGAAATTCACAATCACATTGCATTCATATATTTACGTTAGTTCGCATCATTTCAGAGGATGGAGGAAAATATTGGGATACAACAGACTTTTTGTATTCGATTTAAATTTAGTACGACAGCTTGCCCTGACGTTGAGCACTCACTACTAAAGTCGTGCCAACGAAAGTTGGAACGTCTTGCAAAGTATGCAAAGCCAGCAAACCCATGACCTACCTCCCTCGTTATTCTATGTTATAAATGTATGCTAGACCTAGCCAGGTAGCCTTATTGATGACCCTAATTCCGAAATCCCATATGCAAAGCCGAATGCAGTGAAACTAGAAAAACTCCGTATCCTGTGAACTTTAGGAATCCCCAATTCGTTCTTTACATTGGTGCCCAAAGCCGTAAATCGCATTTAACTCATATCCATCTCAACCTCCACAGCATGGTTGGGGAGACTGGTCGTAGGAATTCCACCCATCATCATTTCTTCAACGTGTTCATTTGTCATAGCATTCATAACTGGACTGCTAGCCTTGGGTGTTTCGCTAGCCTCAAGTATCATATCTCCTTCAAATATCGGAACTGGTCCTCGAAGATTTTCAAACGTCTTTTCCAAGCTGGTGCTCACAAGTCTACCTTGTTTGAGGTCATCTCCAAATAAAAAGTAGCCTTCTTGAGCTTCAACGAGATAGCTGGCTAATCCTCTACTTTGCAATCGAATAATAGCATTGTTGACAGGATAGTGGTTCTCGATATATTTGGTCCAGCCACGAACCGCAGCTTGAATGTCTTCATCGGTGCTTAACTTTGACCAGCCAATTCCCAAATGCCTCGTGTATTCGTCAATGGAAGGCTGGATGGGGCCAGTACTTCCGCTTTGAAGAGGAGCTGAGAGGACACTATTCGCGACATTTGTCTCTTCGACCATTGATGATGTGGGACCTCTATCAATTCTTTGACTCTTTGCCGAACGTAGGATTGGTCTATCTGGACTGGCCGCGCGCATTGCTGCTTTTGCTTTTTCTTCGGCTTCTTTCTCTTCTTTCCAGGTACCAGTTTGACTCTCTGCCGTTAAGTTGTAACGATTACTCGGTTTAATGAGCGTCATGCCTGGCCCGTATTCCCATTCTTCTTCATCTTCGACAACTATTGGCTCAACAGGCGCTTGTGAAAAGTATTCTTCGTCTTCAAGAGCAGCCTCGTCGCGTGAGCGTTTACGACCTGCAGCTGATTGAGGTGCCGAAGTTGGAGTGAGCCAAGAACCTGCCGATGGTGATGACATGGGAGCTTTTACGAAAGGGGATGTAAAAGTTGGACGATTGAAAGAATGTTGAGGTGGGAGTTGCGGCGCCATGGCAAGAACGGGAGAAGATTGAGAGAAAGATTGATGAGAGAAGGAACCCATGATGATGATGAAAAAGAGTTTGTTTAAAATGTTTGATGGATGGCCAGAAGAAGGCGCGACTTTGGGGTAACTATTTTATCAATTGATTGATGTTATTGGATAGATGATAGATGATAGATGATAGATGGAAGTGTATTGATGTTGGGAGATGGAAAGGATGAAGTATGTATTGAGTTGTGATGGGGAAGTAAAGTTGATTAAGAGGGATGGATGGATTGAAGAAGATGAAGATGAAGATGAAAGGGACAGGGAAAGGTGGGAATACTTATTTTATTTGGAGATGGGAGATGGGATGAGGGAAAGGACAGAAAGGAAAAGAAAAGAAAGCTGAGCGAAAGGACGGCATCTTTAAAATGTAGCTTGTTGGAAGCGGAAAGGTACGAAGATTAATGAGGCCTCATAAATTAGGCTTACACTTGCTCCAAAATCCCGTCAAAACGCTTGAACCTCGGATCTTTATTCCAACTCCGGTTGTGCTTTGATTGCAGGTGATATTACTAGGTAACTTCCAAGGTGGCTTATTAATCCGCTATGCACGTCGTACGCTCTGCTCTGCCGTATTCACTCTGCTGCAGGTGTCCATAGAAAATAACCCTTCCTCGCCTTCCAAGATTCTAACCTTATGAATCATATGATCTTTTTTTAGCTTTGGATCACTTTCCCAATATCCAAAATGAGATTTTTCATGTGGATCGGGGAATCGAAGAGTCTTTTGGTATGTTGATCATTACATGAACATAGGTGACTTTGACAGTCGGAATGGAGTCTTTATGTCATAATACCGTCCGATCGAGCCTTGTGTGATGAAAAATCACGTGCATAGATGAGAAACATGTGATATCCTGTGAAAACCCACTTTCAATATGCACATACCTGCCTAGTAGGCACATCATACATCATACATTGTACTGTACATTGCATTGATTCATATAGCATCATTCTCTCCAAGAAACTCAATATCAATATCAATATCACCGCTGATACCATCTCCATACGTAGGTAAAAACCATAACAATTTTATATCCTCTCAAAGTTCAAATCTTGCTTGCTTACCCATCCAACACTATTTTTATGTGATTGATTTCCTTCTACCACATTCCAGGATCAGCCTTGCCCCATCCTTAGCGCCGGCCACCTTTTATGATTTACCGTCATGCAAATACGCCTTATGAATTTGGATTGTGCTTGTAGATTTGAGATTGCGATTTGATTTCATAACAAAAAGGAGTCGCATCCTAATAACAAAACAGAATCCAACTACTGATTATACTACACATACAACGATGATCATGGCTTCTGTAACAAATCTCGACAATGATGTTAATAGCAAGCGGGGTGATCGAGTTACACCGGCTGCTGTGAATGAAGTAAGGAATTTCATCGAAGAATCTCTGGGGGAGAGTTTACCTGATGTTGGAGATGATGCACGATTTGGCACATATAATATATTGGCTGCACTGAAAGATGGTGTAGCTCTTTGCAAGTAAGCTTCTCTCCTTATCACGTACCGATCCAAAGTGTACTGAACTCCTACAGACTTGCAGCGATGATTGATCCTATGAAAGTCCGTGGATTTAAACCTAAAGCAACGATGCCTTTCATACAACGAGAGAATATCGCTTTGTTTCTCGGCGCATGCGAAAAGCCACCGCTAAGTCTACCTGCACACGATAGGTTTCTTACGGTTGATCTCTACGATGGCAAGGACCCCGCGCAAGTACTTCAAGGTATCGCTGCATTTAGCAGAGCTGCAAATCGAGTTGATCCTTCTAAATTTCCTAATCCTATCGGCGCCAAATCTCGCGGCGGTGTTGTGAGCCCGCAGGTTACTGGACAATATCTTGGAACTGGATTCAATAACAGAGGAAGGGAAGCTTCAACCGCTAGCACTGCATCATCAAGTCACAAGCCTGCAACTTTGACAGCTTCAAGAACTGGTGGTTCAGATAGTGGTAGGAGAAGTCCTAGCAGATTTGGTGCGCCTACATCACCTAATTTTGTCAGTAGTTGGAGTAAGAAATCCGACGAGAGTGCTACATCTCCAGCCTGGAATATTGCGCAATATGGATACATGGGAGGTGCGAGTCAAGGTAATATGGGAGTTTCATTTGGTGGCAGGAGACAAATCACAAACGCTGGTCCGACCGTTCCAAGTCTCGCCGAAAAAGAGAAGAAGCGAAAGGAAAAAGAGGCAGAAGATAAACGATTGAAACTTGAAGCCGAAGAAGAGGAACGGCGAAGAGTTGTGGCCGAGGAGGAAAGGGCTCGTGTGGAAGAGGAAAGAAGATTTGCCGAAGAAACCGAGAAGTTGCGACAAAAAACATTGAACGAGAAACGAGAATGGGAGGAACAAGAGCGCAGATGGAAAGCAGAGGAAGATCGCAGAAAGCAAGATGAGTCTGAGGCAGAGAGTAGAGCTGCGGATGAGCGAAAGAGATTAAGGGGTACTAGCGACACTCGATTACAGGGACAATTCCTCAGTCAATATCAAGCTGAGAATGGTTTGAACAAGAAAGGCCAGAGAACTGATTCTAGCGAGGCCGACAGGATTAGGCAATTGGAACACGAACTAGCGGAAGCTCGGGACCGAGAGCGTCGCTATCAAGCAGAAAGGGTTTCGAAACATAAGACTGGGGATCGAGACGCCATCCAAGATCATGATTTAACATTACGACTAAAGGAGGAGTCATCAAAAGCTCGTCCGAGATCTCGTAGTCGCCCTCGCTTGCCATCACGAAAGGGTACTGATGAAACATGGAGACAAGATGAACGAGACTACCTTCGCAAACAATGGAGCTCGCATAATACTAGTGAAGATGTAGCGCCGCCAGTCAAACCTCCTCGTCCATTGCCTGAACCAACGGCAAATCCCATCAAACCTCAACGGACCGGTGAAGCAAGACCTTTACCTGATCCAGTAAATTACACATCTCCAACCTCTAAAGCTCCAAACCGCACCGACCGTTTTCTTTCCTCAAACCCTCCACCAACCCCACCAAGACCAACCACAACTTATTCGAATGAAATAGGAACATTTTCCAGCAATGCCGAACGCGATGCAGAAGATCGTCGCCGTGTCGAATCACAAACTAAAACCAAAGCTGGTGGATGGGCTTCTAAATCTCTTTTGGAAAAGGAAATGGAGATGGAAAGACAACGACAACAGGAATGGGAAGAGAGTCAGAAAGAACTCGAGAACAAAGTCCCAGGCGGTGAGGGAGTTGATGGTATTGGGGCGGGTATTGGAGGGAAGTGGGATGTTAATCAATGGACGGGGTATACCGGTGGCGATGGGCAGAACAAGGGAGCTCAAGGTATTGGAGCTGGTAGACGACAAATTGTGGGGCCGAAACCACCACTACATGGAGGGCAATAGATACGAGATGTGAGATGCATCTTTACTTATCAAATAGGGGTGTAGAACCCGAACTTTGGGATTGCTGAGCGTAGGTGGAGATCAAGTCATTGTGCATCTCTTGTAGTGGCTGAATGGGCGGATATGTTGTGCGTTTTGGGATTCATATATGGAGGATCTGTACCTGGTTGATTGGGAACGTTTGGGGCTGGATTGGGTGGCATAGAGTGGAATGGTTTTCGAGTTGAATCAATACCAATAGTAATACCTTGTTGCGGAGGGAACGTATAGTCTAATAGTAAATAATAAAATATAAGATACATCACAATATCTTAGTAGAAAGAGCATCTTATTATGCATGAGTTTTGATGATATCAGATGATGGGTCTGTATCTGGTGAGAAAGTATGGAATTAGTGTTCTTCAGTTCATTTCCTGTCTACCTACCTACCTACCTATTTAGGTAGATATCAAGCAACTCACCCAATCATCTATAAGAACGAAATGGGAGAGAGGAGAGTGTCGTTTTCTTTCTTATTTTCTTTCTCTCTCTCTCTCTCTCTCTCTCTCTCTCTCTCTCTCTTTCTTGATTAAATCAATATCTAATCAAATATATGAATTCCCCCAGCACTTTCACAATCTCCCATATCCGAGAATCCTGGATATATATTATTCTTTCAAAGATGGTTACTTATTTACTTACTACTTGCTCTAATCATTTAGTTATTCAGTCATTTAGTTAGTTAATCAGTCAGTCAGTCATTCAGTCAGTCGGTCAGTCGGTCACTCAGTCAGTCACTCAGTTACTTACTAGAGAGATATCTTGTGTTATGTTAGTTTTAGTTTCTGTGGTTGTGATTGTAGTTGGAATAGAGATATAATTAAAATGAATAGGATGGATGGATGGATGGATAGGGGGTGTGGTTTTCTGGGTTCTTGGTTATGAATTCCGGGTGTAGTGTAAATTGATATCTTGATACGGAGGGGATATTTAGCCTGGCTGGCTGGTGTCTTGTCTCTTGCTTCTTGACTGTTTGGATCTTGATTGATGTCGCTGGGGGGTTAGGGGTGGGTATGGGGTTTGGTCGTGGGTTGTATTTGCTTGGTTGCTTGATTGGAATGTGCTTTTTGATATGGAGAATTTAGGAGAGGAATATTTCATGAACTTACGCACGAGGTTTTCGAAATCATTTTTGCGGGACGCCAAAGATCTGGCTGTGTGGAGTTTACTTAAACTTCAGGAGGATTCTTCAAAACGTGGTTGTGGTTCTTTCGTGCTTGTGCATACGAGATTGCTACTGGTTTCTTGAAAGATGCGTTGAGTTCTTATATTTTACTTACAGCCTCGAAATGAATTGTGATGATGAGGTATGTTAGGATGTAATTGGTAGTATCTATTACAATATCATGTTGATATAAGCTGAGCAGTTAGATTTACACGCTCGTAACTACTGCGCGTTGGGTTTTGGGGGAGTACGGAAGTGGGCTTGTATTTCTTGGAGTAGATATAGCTTGAGGATTTCGATTTTCGAACTAGATGGTTTTTGCTAAATGGGTGTGTAGATTTGTATGGCTGTGTATGCTAAATCATGCAGAATGATTGTGAGTTTCGAAGGGGGGGGGGGGGGGGGGGGGGGGGGTTATGTCTTCAATGTAGGGGGAGGGCTTTTGTTGGGGATCTTAATCAAGTTTATGTGTTTTGATATTATGCTACTGGTGATCATGATTAGCTTCATTCTGAAATTGTAAATACTCGCCGAACATGGAGTCTCGTTTGCTGGTGTTGGTATAGAACAACTTGTTGGAAAACACACGTCAGATAATTACTCCAAACAGAGTATGTAGCGAGCCATCTCGTTGATAAACGAACATCATCTGTAACAAGCCATGGGCTGCGTCTAAATAATAGGCTACATCTGCTATTGAGCCTCGGCCTCGTACTCAAGATTGCGCAGACAGTGATGGTAGACTCTAGTATTAAATAGACATGTAAGCAACCCTTCATATACCTCGTGAGCTTCATGATTGCTGAGTAACCATTCTTGCTTTCCATGCCATTCTGCTTGTATTTTTGCATTGTGTCGCGTGTATTTTGTGAGGTCTTCATTAGGCTCCACTATGTCGACCTACTATTCAAGGTTCTTTTCTATCTTATATACTCTGGCCCCTGGGCTTAAATGCCAGCTAGAGTATTCAACATACCATGTCCGGAAGAGGAGGATTAAATAAGTATATTCCTCGCATCACTCTGAACTCCCAACATCGTGAGGAGTGAAAGTATATTTGAAAATATACGTGGATGGTTGAATTAGATTGATTCATCGATGTCTTGCTGCCGCTCCGGTGTATCTGCACATTAAGGGCGGAGTATCAATACCGCAGTGGTCTAGAGCACGTCAGTCGGATTTAAGGGGCGAGTTTGATATTGTGGGTAATGGTCTATATTGTGTTATCAATTGGGCTTGAAGGATACTCTATTAGTAGTCGAGTATCGGGATTGAATAATGATTGTTGCTTGCTGCGCTTCTCTGATTAGTGTGGGTAAATATTAGAAAATTTTGACCCAGGTAAATAGATATTGGATACTTTATTGGTTCTGCGCTCCCACTTGAAACTCGCATAAAGTGATTGATGGCAGATGAGTCCTCAAATGGATGTTCGAAATGTGAATTCATTCTAAGACGTCAGACGGTAACATCTAGCTACTAGCGTCCAGATATAGGTATAAACAAATGTAGATGTGAATGTTAAGATTCCCAGGAGTTGGCCGAGCGCTGTCCAAGGCTCTAAAATCTTCACTTCATTCTGTGATCACATCTCGGGACCCCTACCATTTTAGAACCAATAGATCAGGAATTTGAGGTGTTCTTGTTCGAGGCAATGTGGTGCAATGAAACAACGAAGCGCTGCTGAATATTTCGAGTTTCTCCGTTGAATATTTTACTTTACTTGGAGCTTTATTAGAAAAATATGGACTTCATTCATGAGAGGCTGGAGTTGATCTTCTTTGACATATTCCACCGAATGTCTCAACGCTTCTTTCCCCAGAATGCACAACTGAAGTGCAGATTTTAGACGAGTCTGTATATATAATACCAGACTACTGAACTTGCAAAGTCTGTAGAAACATGAAGCATTGAAGGATTACTGTCTGGGATAAACATTGATTAGAAGATCTACAAGAATACTTCACGCTTGCACATCCAATACTTTTCTACTTGTCAATGATACTTGTGGGGGAGAACCCCATTCAACCACTCAACGCATGTCAAAATAGATCCATTCACATACAAACCCTGATAGGTTATGCCAACGAGATCACACCATAGAGGTCACCAAGGTCATTTTCTCGTACCCTTTTCAAGTGAATCTATTCGCGAATTGCTCATAGCCTGCTCAGTCAAGTCAATACAAGTCGTCTACTAACAAAACTGCAAGAATGACCTTAATTTGATTCACTTGAACTAACAAGCTCTCTTTCCCTCGATTATCTAAGAGCCATACCTTTCAATGTTGAAACTGTTAGTGGAGAGATCGAATCCGCGATTTTGGAACACCAAGCAAAAAGGTCATTGGGCCAAATGTTGATTGAGGGAGCGAGACATTAGCATCTAAAAGAGTTTTGACTCCCGCCACGTCAAAATTCATAGAGGCGTTGACTTGTAGCAGAGTACGCGTAGACTATTGATTTGTATATTGAACAGAGTGTAAGTAGCTAAGTAGATAGTGCAAGGTTGCGAACATTGTGGCACTGCTGAGAGTGTAGATGGTCACAAACAACAGAACCGCATTTGGTCTCAATACTGAATGATCGCCGAACTTATGTAGCTTATGGCTAGTTTCTCAATAGCGAACCTTGACGGCATTGAATGTACTTCACTAACGCCGTCGATCTCTTGATTTCTGCTGCTCTTTTCGGCCTCAGGAAATCACTTGATCACTTACTCCCTTCCGAGTTTAGATTCAACAATTGCTATAAAGCATGCAAAAACATTGTATGCATATTTGAATCTAGGCAGATGGTAACTCTGGCTTTTCTCATGCTGTGACTTGTACCGGTATATGCAAGCTCGACAAAATTATGGATATGATGTGAGGAGGGCCCTCTCCCCGCCCCACTTTCTGGAAAATTTCTTCTTTCCCAAAGACCCTCTTTCCTCAATCCCAGATCTAAACCTAGATATATATCTAAAACTATGACTCACCTTCGTCGATAACTACTCATCCAAAGCGTTTGTGGTTTAGTGGTAAAATCCATCGTTGCCATCAACGTCCTTCTTCTCATCCGAGAACTAGGTTTGAATCAACCTCGATGGGCCCCGGGTTCGATTCCCGGCGAACGCATTTGCTTTTCGTTTTGCTCGTAATCGCTTTCCTCGTAATCGATTTGGTCTTTGAATGGTGGCAAGATAATGAGTCGTTATTTCGTAGTGAATTTTGAAGTTGTGATTGGTACTGAGTGGAGAGAAGGGGAGTTGAGGGGTAGGCGAGCCTTGCTCGCTTCTTCGAGGAATTGTGATGTATGCTTGAACTATGCTTGCATCCGATGCAGTACGCCCAATTAGACATCATATCTGTTTGAATGTGAGTATTACATGAAGAAGGAGTTTTGGTACGCCTTACTTTTGGCTTTTTGTAAGCCTCGATCTAAAATTTATACGTAAGAGGCGCAGGTTAGATTAGATCTTCTAACTGTTTGGAGCAGTGCTGAATAGGAAGGCGGAATAGACAAATATACGAGCTCTGATCGGAAATTTTGAGGAGTTCATGATTCACGATTAAAAAACGTGTGTCGGTGAAATCTATCTTTTGTCCAGCGTTGAATGAAAGTCTCGTTCAAATCGGGGTATTTATTGAGCCTCATGATGAAGGAGTCAAGTCCTCTACTGACTTGCGGTCAATTTTTCGGGGGACCCAATGACGTCTTGTGGTTCAAGAACATGCTGAGCGCGAGTAAGATTCTAGATCAGCTATCACATCTTACAGCAGTGCCAAACTCTCAGTTCAAATATTCATGGAGAAGTCTTACAACCACATGAGATGTCAATATTGACATTATTGACAGTATCGAAGCTAATAAATAGAATTCGAAGAATTTCTCAAAGAAGCCCGAGGCTGGCTATTTGCAGATAATCGATATTAGTTCACTCCAACAGCTTCTGTACCTACTTGAAAGCTTCGACCACATCCAAGTCGATCCATGCATGATCTGCACCACAAACGCCATTCCAAAGCCTCACAATAATAACTCCCCGATTCATTGTGTTGTGCACCCATTGTTGGTGCCAAGAAGGAGAGTATACTATTAAAAGCTGAAGACGTAAGAT